TTGCATCAGGCAATTAGAGGTAGTTTTTGCTGAGAATCTATATTGAATCTATATTGATTCAGACAAAAATTTTCAATTGAATCTCTTGCTAAGGGAATTTGATAAATAAAGTGGTAGAGATATATTTACTGGGTAGATGCCGAGTTTTGGAAAATAATATTTTGATGTCACAAATACTGTTTTGTTTGATTAACTTAAGTTGATGGACAAAGAAGTGATAAGTCTGGTCATTATTCAAAAGAATCTACATTGTAATGCTAATTATCGCTTTAATAGCCTTAATTAAAAATTACCATAGTAACGGTTACCATGGAGACCTGGTTAAGAAGTTTTACAAATTAAAATAAAAGATATTCACACCAGTAATGCTTGAACTAATTCAAAACTGTCTAGGCTTAACTTGAGTGGAGTAATGTCGAGTTGAACTTGTATAAAATAGTGATACCAAAAATATGCTTAAATCACAGGGGCCTTACCAGCAGTCACAAATGAGCCCCAAGCACAATGACGTCCCACCCGTACATCAGTACATCATACCTAAAAATGTTCTATGAGTATTGCCCTATCATTTTGTGATGTCAGACCAAATATGTAGAGGGTGTGCTACGTTTTTCATTTTTTAGGCCTCTTCTGGAAATCTCCTCTTAGTCTATTAGTTGCGATTTAAACATCGCATGAACAAAAATGTGCAGACAATAATCTTCTTTGAGCTTTAGTCAAAGGACTCAAAAACGTCAACAAATAGATCCAAAAAATTAAATCCATTTGTCAGCCAGACGAGAAAGATAGTATTTTTGAATTAACAACTTTTTCTTTTTTTTTAAACATTTTTTGTAGCCCAAGCGGCTCCTGCAGGTTTCTTTGAGCAAAAAATTACTGGAGGAAGACATCCTAATGACGATAAGAGATACACCATCGGTAAATATTCATGGCACAATTATCAGTAATTTTTTGTACAGTGCTACATTAATATCCAAAATATTTCCGTAACTAAATTAAAATACCTGTTTGCTAAATTCGTGTAGATTCGTCTTTAGAAGTACTAACACTGCGCTTCATTTTTTTAACCTCAGCTCAGTTAAACCAAGCCGCCAGACACCGAAATGTATATTACGATACTGTTGGAGGAGATCCATATGGTAAGAGAGGGCGACATTCTCAATTATTTGTTGGCAAGAGTCAGTAATTGATATCCATTGACCACTGGGAAAAATAAGGGGGGAGGAGATAGAATGGATCAAGTATTTGTTAGAGGAGAGGGGGAGGATCCAGGAGTAAAAGGGAAAATGGTGATCGGTAGCAAAAAGACATTACACTATGAACTATGAATGAACTGTGAACTACGGTGAAACGGACGTGAGTTATAGCGGGATGTGGGAAAGGAAAACAACGTGTGAACTTAATTTAGAAGATTGGGGAACTATCAGAATCATGTATGAATGCAGTAATGGCACGAATACGGCCTGAAACGACTTATTTTCCCTGTTATCTACTATATGAGAAATTTCTGCAATTTGATTGGCTTAGAGCAGTGGTATTTCAGGTTAATTTGAAATACCTACATGTGAAAATTACAAACCTTTGCGGGTAGTAGTGTTGAGGCCTCAAATGTAATAAATGACCCTAAATGTAATAAAGGTCCTAAGTGTAATAACTTTTGGCCCTAAATGTAATAAAGGTCCTAAATGTAATAACTTTTGGCCCTAAATGTAATTAAGGGTCCGGTCTAATAACATTATATGTGTAATAGGTTTTAGCCCCAAATGTAATGGAAGTCTTAACAGTATTCTGCATGTATGTAGTACATCAGCCCCAAACTTGATAATGTCCCTGACTGAAACATGCGACGGTCTGATGCGATATTAATGTTATAGCCAACTGGCGATTCACTTTCTTCGCCCTATTGTAGTCTTCATAGATATTCATAAACTTAGAAAGCGACTTGAACGCTCAAGAAGTAGGAGAAACACTTATAAATTAACTACGTCTCGATCGTCTTTCCTATTACATCCCTTCATCGTAAAACTCTAGTTATAAACAAATGGAATCTACACAAAAGTTTTCAAAATACAGTAGTAATTTACCAATTGAAGGAAGTATTAATGTTCATTAGAAACAATCGTAGTAAATTAACTACTTTTGCCCATGGGGTTTTTAAATGTTTTCACCACATGAATAATAAGGTGTTACTCAAATGGCTATATAGGGGATCTGCCTGGGGTATTTGGTGTTTGATACTCCCTAGACACATTGTTGCGCTCAGTTAACCGGCCTGTAATAAGGCTGAAAGCAAACAGTATGAAATCTTCTTATGACCCTAAGCATAATAAGAGCTGAAAGAATTACACTTACGACCTTTATTACATTTAGGGCCAAAAGTTATTACATTTAGGACCTTTATTACATTTAGGGCCAAAAGTTATTACAATTAGGACCTTTATTACATTTAGGGTCATTTATTACATTTGAGGCCTCAACAGTAGTATAAATAAATAATAGCATGATTTGTAGTGATATTTGGCATAAATATCAATTATGATATTTCAAAATTGTCTCAAATTACGTATAACAATTTCGAAATATCACTCGTGGTATTTATGCCAAATATCACTTCAAATCATGCTATTACCTACACAAACTCTAACTATTTCCTACTGCTGATCAGTGTACACAAGAGCCATTATGGCTCTTGGTGTACACAAAGACTCGGGATAAGATTGATGTGAAAAGTGATTAACCCTAGCACACATGCACAGATTCGGCTCGAAAATCTCATCCACCTTGACATCGCCTTCGGATATAGTTCCATGTTAAGTGCTTTGGAGAGAAAATGGCGAGATGAATTTCATTTTGAGGGGTGGTGTCTAGATCTATCTGCCTTATAGTATCCATACAGATGTAAACCACAGTATGTGGTATGCATCTAGTCGGCTCTGGACTCATAAGAGTGTTCGTGACGAATTTTCTCTGTAGAATAAGATAACCTACGAAGTGGGCAGTGACATCAAAATATTGACGAAATTATAATTGCAATCTTTCATCAGGTAACAGCAGCCCAGTTCTCACCCGTTCACATATTGCCGTGCCCGGACAGAAAAAGAAGAGATCAGTTGAACTAGAAAAGTAAGAGAGACTGAAATTTCGTTGTTAAACTCAAAATGTACAGGCTGGAATAGATCTTTCCCGCATTCTATCTAGGAGCACAGACAAAGCAGCAGTTTTCTTCCTTTTGTTTTTTTCTCAACGATTTGCTACTCATCTTCTAGCATTATTGGATAATTCTCCCCTGGAATCTGCTTGATTTGACAAGGAATTCGTTTGTTTGAAATGAAATGTTCATGGAAGTATCGGGAGCAGTGTCTCACACGTTATGTACTCTATCACGACACCGATCTTGTCCAACTAACCTTAGAGGCCTTAGCTCCAACGAGTCTCCTTTTGGTGAGTGATAGTAACAAGAAGATTATAGGTTCGACAGCCGTTGCGGGTGGATTTTTTCTTCCGAGCCACCTGTGCCACAGCCTAAAAAAACCTCATCTTTTTTACAGGATTGTTTATTTCTTGCAGGCAGACATTGAAAAAGAAGCTCCGACTCTGTTCAAAATGCTGCTGCTGAGCCGATGAAACCTTTAATACTGTATATAAGTAACTTATGACATTGGGAAGGAATAAACAAAAAAATTGATTTCTTATTTCTGTACTGAGTAATCATAATTAATTTTATCAAAAGTTATCTATCATAAGAAGATTACCTTTGAACAATTTTCTTCAACTGTCAGTGAATTTGATAATGTATTTTTATGGTCAGAATTGGCATTGATTCTGTCAGGGGCTGGGGTTTGCCGCAATGTATCAGTAAAAGCTGAAAAATTCTGGTGAAGTTACTGTGAAAAGCCATATTTTTGCCGCCCTCACCACACCGCTTTATCTAAATGCGCGCTCAAGTGTCACGCGTGCGTAGAGTTAGAAAATGTCTGATACCCGGTGTGGCGATTTTCACTGTAAAGGATGGAAACAAAAGAAAAAGTTTCTTAAAAAGTACCCATTGGAATTGGCATAATTCGTGTAGTCATTGTATTTTAATCATTAAGAATTTTAGCAATAAAGATTTGAGGGTAAGCCGTTATGTGGGGTTATGTGGCACGATCAATACTTTGCGACCAGGTATGTTCTTTAATAAAATAGAAATTACTGACTGTTTCTTTTTTTATATTTAAATTTAGACTCCTATTTAAGTAAAGCCGGGAGATAGATGATAGACCTTACCGCCGGGGTCTATGTCCCCTTCTCCGTAACAGTTAGCGTCAAAAGAATGATTCTGTTGTGTTTACATTATTATTTACCAAGTCCAAAGGCTAATAAGAAAAAAGCGATAATTCCAAGAGTCTCAAGATACGTTTTCTTCGATCTGAAATTATTATGTCTAAAACCGCTGAAAATCTCTTTTTAATGGGCTTAGTTCGCTGTAGAGCGTGTTTTACTCTTAAGAACAAAATACAATCCGAAAATAAGCATAGTAATATGTCCTGTACATTTTCACACATTCTTCGTACTTTATGACTTAAAGTTTAGTACATCCATGTCATTGTTGATACACCCTGCTCATGTATGTATTCAGAGCAGTTTTCCCTCGCATCGCACGTCGGAATTCTTCTGCCACTGGAACTAATTTCGGTGACTTGTAACATTTAAAGACTCGTAGGTTGCATTAAAAGCTATATGCAATCTACACCTTACACTGAGAGCACGGAGCCCAAAAGTGTGACGGCTTCAATACTGTCTCTCCATATTTACAAAAAAACAAATTCAATATGAATATCTGGTTATTATCGAAGGCTAAATTAATGGCAATTTTTTCACACCAAACTTCGTTGTATGTCCAGGTTTTAAAGTAGCTATTCTGAAGAGGAGCAGTTCATGTGATGCTTCGTCTTCTTCGTCCATTGTTCGGAAAGAAGACGTCTTGTTGACTCAAAACTTGATAATTGCTGAAAGCTATCATAAAGAAACGAAAATAATTAGTTCCTTTGTTACCCTAACAGAAGAAAGAGCGATTATTAAGGAGAAAGGGACCATGAAGGTATTACTGATCAAAAGGCGTGAAAATGTACTTGTGAGGAAAGCCTGCAGGTATTCTAAAAAATTAAACCAATGGGCGGAAGAGGACTGAAATCAACGCAAGAATGAAGATTGTCAACTTATTCTAACTAGTAATGGAAAAACACAAAACAGAGCCATCTCTAACTAAAAAAAATTTGTTAAATAACATTATAATCTGTTTTAAATCATAACAACTTTGGACTTCGAATCACTTACATTGACTATCACCAGCGATACCATCAAAGATAACGTTCCTGTGTCGTGCACGTTGGTTTTGCGAGGCTGTAATAAAGACAAAAAGTTGTTAACAACGGCAGCATGTCGCAGTGGAAAATTAGAGGCAAGAAAAGCTCTGTATATTCATGCTTTTCCCGAATATTTGAAACGTACAGTTGTCACACCCGGGTCGGTTCGTCATTCCGCAATAACAACTCTGGAGGTGACAGAAGCAAAGTTTGCTTAGCACTACCCGGGAAGTAAATATGACTTTATTTCTGTGAGAATGAGTATTAAGGGGGGCAGCCTGGTTATTTTTTAGGGAAAATGATGTTGATTTGGGAATGAAATAAATTAGGGAAGAAAAGGTATACACATAAACCAGTTAGTCCGCTAATGGGCTCAGAGGCACTCTGCTGTGGTGGTGGACTATCTGGTATTTGTCCAATAATTATTCACTTCATATTTGTAGTTTAAGTTTTTAACAACCCCCAAATTCACTATTTTCCAATGTCCCAAAATTTTAAACATCTAGCCTTAATTTTTATACATTAGAAACATTTAAATATTTATCATCCAAAAGTTGTCAAAAAGTTATTGAAACAAGGACTCCAAGGTAATGGAGTCGTTTTTTGATTGAATGGAATCTTGGCTAAAACGAAAAAGGGTAGAAAAAAAGAAACAAACACAAAAACAAAAACGAAAAACAATGCTTTTAACTAGACTGCCCCCTTAAAATCAATGAATATGATTTACTGCTCACCTAAATACTTGTCTCCAAAGCCCCATTCCTTTTTCTTTCCTGCAGGCTTAGTAGTGGGATGAAAGGCAACTTGTGGTTTCGCTGGGTAGGGTGCACGCTTTGGCGAAGGTGTCGTTAAAAACCGTGACCGGGGAGGTTTCGTCACTCCAGGCTGCGTTGTAGCAGCAAGTGAGTCCAGTAAGGGTCCCAAAGGGATATTAAACGTGTCACTTGACACAGTCTTGCTGGTTGATGCTGAATCAGCGGACGGTAATGTGACTATTGGCGAAGTTCTTGAAGGTGATAACCGTGTTGTTGAAGTGGTTGAACCGACTTGATTTCCCACCTTATTTTTGGGTGGTAGCTCCATGGAAGAGTTGGACAAGAACGTTGCATTGGTGATGGTGACATCTTCAAGCTTCCATCCAGGCATTGTAACGTTTTCGGGAATCCTTATAATTGGAAAATTTGCTGCTTCTTCTATTCCAGTGGGGCTCTCAGAAGATGACAAAGCCACACTGCTGTTGTCCACGGCTTGATCTGTAATTACGGTGTTATTTTGAGGTTGTAACATCTTGTTTGTAGACTTTGTATTAACTGAAACGGCGGCATGAGAGGAGTACGTTGTATTTTTATGCGCGGGAGAACTTTCTGAGTCCACTGAAGAATTTGTACGCAAAGAATTTTCATCTTGGTCCGCATCAAGCGATGATGGAAACGAAGATGAAGGAAGAAACAAGACGGTGTCTTTATCAGGAGATGTTGCAATGATGTATGACGAATTTTCGTACTCTGCTTGAAGTACGGGCAAAGACGAACTCGCAAAATCGGCGTCAGTCGGATGTGAATTGCCATTTTCACTTGAACTGATCTGGTTGTAACTGATGTTGGAGACTTGGACAGAGTGACTCTGATGATTCTTGTAAGTTAAGGCCGATTGGAAACCAGATGGGAATGAAGAAGATGAAGATACGTCAGAGATTGAATACGGTGATGAGCTTGGAGCTGGGGCTGGTGAAGGTATAGGGGCGTTCATCGGTGGGTAGGGACTAAATCCGGGTTGGGTTTCAGAAGATTGTGCTTGTGAGGAAGACGCTACAGTGGAGACTCCATATGACGATGGAGACAAAGAAGACGATGGAGCAGGAGGTGCGGCATAATATGAGCTGCTTGGAGCCGATTGGTCTGATGACGGAACAGCAGGAGGCCGGTAGGCAGGGTGACCATTATAGCTTGATGCTGATTGAGAAGCCCAGTTTGCAGCTGGAGAGGATGCACCGTAAGTTCGGTAAGCGGTTTGTGCTGAAGGATACTCAGGACTGCCATAATTACTATAACCCTGATTCTGCGAACTTGGCGGTGATGGATTACTAGGGTGAATGTTTAAGGCGGCTTCTGGTTGAGATGGTGGTTGAAAAGAAGATGATTGTGTTACAGATGCAGCTGATACGGTGGCGGATTGAATACCCTTGTTTTTCGATTTCGTGGTATCTTGAGACGTCGATGAACTGTTGATTATTTTGTAAGTTACGGGGGAGTCAGCAGCTGGTTTGGTTTTAGATTCTTGACCCAAGTTATTGGAGCCTACATTTGAATCTCCTACGTTATATAAGGGAGCTTTGCCTCCTTGTTCAGATACAGATGGACTTCCAGGTACAAACGAGTTACTATCAGTGGCTTTTGGAGCCTCTGGAGCCTCTGGAGCCTCCGCTTCCTTGTTATAAGTGCTGACGTAATAGACAGGATAGTGGTGACCATGACTATTTGTAGCCGAATCATTTGCTGAGTTGGTAGGCAATGACAATGTTTTTATAATTGAATTGGCTTTTAGCCTTCGTTCCTCATTCTTTTCATTGTCCTTAACATAGTATACTGGATACCCATCGTCTTTACCACTTTGTGAAGGTGATGAAGATGCAATTGATTGATTAGCTTTTGAATTGAAAATTCTCTGAGAAGGTTGTGGCTGTGTATTAGGTTCTTCAGGGCTGGAAACGTAGTATACAGGATAGCTATCACTTTTTGATGGACCTGGATCTACCACGCCATTCGACTTTGACTGCTGTTGGAGTGCCGCCGATTGACTAGTTTTTGGCTTGGAAATACTCTGCAAGGACTGTTGCTGTCTGTTTGTTTCTTCAGGATTGGATACATAATACACAGGATAGCTGTCACCCTTTGATGGACCTGGTTCTACCAAGCCATTCGAGTTTGATTGCTGTTGGAGTGCAGATTGACTAGTTTTTGGATTGGAATAACTCTGGAAGGACTGTTGCTGTTTGTCTGTTTCTTCAGGACTGGACACGTAGTACACAGGATAGCTATCATCCGTTTTTGGTTCTGATTGGCCTGCAGGTATTTGTAGTTGATTGCGATTGAAGTGTGAATAAAGTGTGGATGACCCTGACAATAAAGAACTGTTTGTGTCGTTTGGGGTTTTTGATAGTGCTTGTGTGGGAGGATAACTGGCTGACCACTGTTGTGCAGATGCAGCGGACGCCACAGAACTGCTTTTCTCGGCAGGGGACAGGAGTCCTTTTGCCGATGTAGAGCTGGCTTGTGCTGGGGCAACTTGAGCACTTGCATAGGTTGCTGGTTGCTGTTGTCCGCCTGGCGCTGTTGAAAGTGTCCCAGATCGTCTGTCCCAACCAGCTATGTTTGAGTTTTCTATTTAAAAAATCGCCAAAAAAAAACCATCGATCAATTCACCCTTTGCTTTTATTAAATCCCGCCATCATTTTAGATAACATTAAACATGAACTCTATACTATCTGATCTATTCCATCGCGTAGTTTTTTTTTTTGTGCTAAAACGTGAAGTAAAAAGGGTGCGAATGAATGGTAAGAGCTTAAAGCGAACGAATTCCGTACGAATGGAAAAACAGTTCATTTTTTAACCCTTTTTTTAATCAGAGCTAACTCTTTAAGAGAAAATATCAACTTACTCCACGTTATGGAGCCAGTTTGTAGTGCAGCATTTTGAGATGAAAGGTGATGCCACGAAGAAGGTATATAACCGGGGTATCCTGAAAACAAAATTTTATATTTAATTTAAAAAGGTAAATTTTTAAACGTGGAATTTTACGAACAAAAAGAAGCCGAATTCGTTCCCTACTGGGAACTGTCTTTATTTGGGATGGAAAACCACGACTGATATTCTGATTGTTAAAGGGAAAACCAGAAAAAACTCTAAAAGAAAATAATTCCAGATAAATAGTTAAGAATATATAAGCTCGAGTAAAGGAAACTATCGAAAATTTTGAATCATACAGTGTACCTTGAGCTGCAACTTGTCTTTTATAAAATCTTATCGAAGGCTCTGATAAATGAATAAATTTTCTGACGATTAGTTAGGTAAAATGTAAAAGTGTCATGCCCATCTTGGCATGTTTGTGGGAAATTCAGAACTCTTCCGTAAGGTCGTTGAGAAAGCACTGCAAACCTCTGTTGTAACTCAGTGGGTTGGGTTGGGCGTCGATGGTTCCCCTGTTTTCTCCAAGATGTGTTCGGTTGTATTTCTTTTAAAAAGAAATTAAAACTTCCTTCTTGTTTGTACAGAGTATAATTTTACAAAAGTAAGAATGTCAGAGTGTTCAACGTCATCAACTGCCCTTTTACTTTTTGGCGCACGTTTTGGAAAGAAGCTGGTCGTGCAAGTGAGTGCTCGCTAAATAATCAGTGTGTATGATAACTGATGACTTCTGTCATATATTTACCTCTTGCAATCCTCTTGTCCAATGGAGCTGAAAAAAGTAAAACTACATGTTGGTCAATGTAAGACGATGTTATTACTTTTCATGTGAAGCAATTTTTGAAAGGACTTTTGAGTTCGCTTGATAGAGAAGCCTTCGTTCGGTAGAGAAAAAAAATATTATATTTGGAGTATTTAGCACTTACCAGAATAAACTAATGAGCAAACATTAGTTAGTGAAATAAGAAAGAGGAGCCTCATCACTTCCCTTTCCGCGCAACAAACACGCTTGCTGTAAATGGAAGGAAATAAAAGAAAACCCAATTATAACGTCATTCCAATGGCGCAAAATCCCAATGCAAAATAGAACGATATTCTAAAGTTACTATCTCGGAGCTATAAGACGCCACATTATTCTGGTATATAGCTCAAGCTCACTCAATAACCCCAAAGGTGATGTGGCCAAAAAAACAGACAAACATTCCCTTTGAAAAAGTGATGCGTAGCCAGTTAAAGTTAAAAACCATTTTCTTTCCTACAGTAATAGACTTGTAAGATGGGTTAGCAAAGCTTGGCGCATCAACTGCTGCTTAGTCAGAAAAGCCAATACTTACAGCCCCACTTGAATGGTAGAGGAAGGGACCAAGAGGTTTGTCACAATTGCGTTTAGAAAGTGATAAAAGGAGTAAAGCGATCTTTCAAGTCTCTCCCGACCTAAGCCAGTGATAAAGGGAGTGAAGCGGCTTAGAGTAAGGCCGTTAAATTTTTGCCAGGTTGCTTATAACTCTCTCCGTTAGCTAAGCAGCCAGTGATAAAGCACTGATTCAATTGTGATTATTTTATGACATGATGAAACTAAGAGCAATAACTTGGAACTGTTTCATCTAGCCGTTTATAAAATCATGACATTGTTATAGTGTTGACTAACGATAAAATTAATATATTGTGAATAGCAAGAAAATTTATCATTTACACGATATCAGTAAAGTCACGGATCAATGATCAAGTTAAATGTATGTTTTCGCAGTGGAAAAAGAATGAAATAAGTTTACTAGTAAGGATCATGGGCCATTGGTCAGTTTCCAGCTCAGACGTTATAAATCTCAGCATTAAAATACTGCTATCTAATATGACAAAAAAATAAATCTGAGGTTATAAATATGACTTCACAAAAATATAAATATTCCTTTGATCATATTGTCCATATAATCGTATGCGATAGAATGCAATTTAGCAAAATTAACAAGAAACACTCTTCGACTATAAGTGGCAGCATAAAGACTGTTAAAACAGTCTTTATGCCGCCACTTATAGCTGGGGATCATTTCAAAATTCGATTTCGGTGAACTACTGCAAATCAAATATTGTTTCCCAAGGAAAATATAAAGAGATGGAACTCCGCCTCGCCTTAGAAATTATATATATATAAATGAAACGAAAGGAACCAAAAATAAAAATGAAATACACCCATCACGCTGACAAGAGTCGTCGAAGGCAGTGAATTGCAATCAATTTGTTTACGAACTTCGTCTGACTAATCTCGTGTCGTATTAGAGATATTCCCTATGGCATGCAGTGTTCTGGTTTAACTTAATGAACCCAATAACTAGCTAGAGTAGTTTTTCTGAAGAATTTTAAATGCCAAAAAGGCCACTCATGTATGTCACTAACTACTGAATAATAAGAATGTCTGTTCACAACGATCAGAGTCGTAAGTTCTGTTATTTGATAATGAACGAATGAAGGTAGATTTAGGTTTTTTAGATTGACGGCGTATTGAACAGCCCTTAGATGAAATTTTCTTAACTTGGTTTAAAGATAATGGAACAGCATAGGATCTAAATCTTCATACACTTGTTTACCACAAAGTAAAACAGAAAATTGTCCTCAGAAATTTAGTTTACACAACTGATAACTTACCTCGATCAGTCGTTATGTTTCTGGAGTAAACTTGACTTCTTCTGGCAACCCTTGAGAAAATAATCTCAAAAAAAAAAATAAAAACGACTCTAAACCAACGTCTGAAGTGATAATGAAAAATCCATGGACTTTGTGCGGATTTATAGCTGATTTCAAGTCAGATATTTCGAGTCGAAAAAATCGGAGGAACGAAGGAAATTTCGATAGTGTCTTTCAACAGGTGGGATGTGTCACCCGCATTTGATTTATTACGTCACACTAAACCCCGGTTCTAGGATTTGATCAAGCGAGCACACAGACAAATTGTTTGATTAGTTCAGGCGGGAAATATTTTGTTGATTAATGGAACAGTCAATACTTATAATTTATGTTTATGTGCCGCGCTTCCTGTGGATTAATAGCAACCACCATTCTTTGGGTTAGCCAGTCTGGGTATAGGAGATCCTTTGCTGGTAAAGGTCAATTCAAATCCGACGCTTCTTTGCTGTAACACATTGCCCTCGGTGTTTTGAGTCACCTTAGGGATGTCCTAAACAATTCTAATATTTTAATTACACATTTGTGAAACTCAGATCATTTCGTTAAGGGGCTATGATGACTCTGTTCATACTGTGCATATTCTTCAATTCAAGCAACACAAGTTAGTGTGGATACCTTCGGCACTGAGAGTAAGTGCCTTTACGATATGGCTAGCTTCACAAGCGGGCAAGTCGAAGTGAATGCTGTGTTCTGATTGGCTTCTCGAATGGACAGGACGGGCTTACCGTGCCAGCTCGGGATTTCCCGTTTTGCTGCCGTAATAAAACATTTTCCTCTGGCAAAGTTTGTACGGTCAAAATGGCTGTTAAAGTATATATTTGCAACTCACTTCATTGCGAACACCCCCTAAGCGCGATTAGGGCTATGTCTTTACTATACCGGTTAGCTCTTGCGCCGGCATGAAAACCAGATGAGAAAGGGCTTTTGTTCGTACATGATAATTGTGATTTGGGCGCGGTTCTGTAGCTGCACCTCGCCGATTTTGAAAGTGGATCGTCTCATATTTGATGGGTGTCTGTGCCACTCTTCATGGCAGTGATAACAGGAGTCCATACTAGGCTCAAGTATTTTTCACGATAAGATATCTGGTAAAGTGTGGACTCGAGTGTCTTTTTCTTGTCCTTTTTTTGGGTGCAGAAAAATGCTCAATGCTCGTGATGGCAACTAAACATTCCAAACTAGTACTTAATTGGAATCATTGTTGTTCTCATATGCTTTTAACAGGCAAGTCATTTAGTTCAGTTGGTAGAGGGCAGGTCTGTTCAGTGGGAGGTTGGTAGTTCAGTTCAGGTAATTGAGTCTTTTGCATGTGGCTATTTAATCCTTCCTTTTCAATGGACCTTATTCACGATACCTGCCATCTTTGCAAGCGATGGGATCACGTGGTTTCTCAGGAGGCAAACGAGTGATAAAATTTGCCAATGCAAGAATTCGCGGTCGGGTTTGTTTATTCTAAACAACAGAAAATGAAGAACTTTCTATCTTAAAGATAATACTATGGGAAATTATGGATGGAAGCGATCATTGTTGCTTTTTTGGATGTATACAAGTGACAGCAAATGTCCTCACAGCGAGCAACACTAAAGCAGGCCTTGTCGTAACGCATGACTATTAAGTTGTCGCCTCGACACGTTTAAAGAGAATAAAGAAACTTGACCGCGATTACTAGTATTGGCAAATGTTATCACTTGCATGCTCCCTGAAATACTTCGTGACATTGCTTTTATCCCATCAGTCCTAAAGCGCGTGCAAAGATGGCGGGTATCGTGACTAAGGTCTATTTATAACATAACAAAAGTAAATCGCGCGCTCTGATTGGTCAGTTAGCCACTACCATTTGAGTGGGATGACGGAAAAATACACCGATGAAATGGGCAGATGAAAAGTGGAAGTTGAAGAAAATACTAAACTGTCGTTTTGAAGGAAAAAAGACAAAAGATCAAGCGACAAATTTGCCCTGGATGAATTAATCACTGTTTTCCTCGCGGCTAGAATCGGCTGAAGGAAAATCGAGCGAGCGAAGATTTAAGGTACGTTTTGTGTGTTTTTTTATAGAAGAGAAAGTCTGTTTGAAATGTAAATTTATCAATTAGCTTTGTGTTATTGACTTTTTGGTCAAGCTGATGTTAACTTCAAGCAAATATTTTAGGAAACACGCTCAAATTCGAGACAGCTTTGTTGTGACGTTTTCACCGCATCGATTAACAATTTTAGTTGAGTTTAAACGGGCACATTACGCTGGAATAAGCGAATTTCATTTGAGTACAGAAACATTTTGGTTTTCAAATAAATTTTTCAAAAAATGACTTGTATGTGTATTATTTTGTTCCTCGGTGTTCATTCATAACAGTCGTTCAGAGAACGGTCGAAAAACTAAAGGCTTCAGCGCTGGCTGTGTGTCGGCGAATTTCAGTTGCAACTTTGACTTTCATAGCTGGATTTCCCCAGACAGATTTCGATACAAAGCTAGTTAATTTCTTTTTAAAATTAGTGTTACCTGTTATTCTAAAGGAATTATAGTCAAATTTTCTCATTTCTACTTTACGTTTACTTAAAAAATTGTCACATAAATAAGCTTGATAATTATTTCATATATTTAGTTTTAGCTAATTTTTTAGTCTTTTTAGTTCGTGTTTATTGTTGCAGCTATAGTTTTCCCTCAAAGTTTTTACCCTAATATTAAGAGCAAGTAGACAGATGCCATTCAGAATAACAACGAAAAACGTTTTGCAATTTACCTGAAGACGGAGAACGGTTGATTCAGCGAAAGAAAAACTCAAAGGCAAGTTTTTGAAAAACATAGAACGATTTGTTTACGCGCGGGCAGATGGCAGTATACATGAACTCGTACCGATGACTCCGAAGGCAAATGGAAAATAATGTTTTTATCTTTTGATTATGTTATAAAAGAAATGGTAAACGTTGCAGCTGTGCAACCATGGAGTTATGGATGCACGTGGGAGGTTTGCTAAGCACTCAAGAAGCTAAAGTCGAACTCGGCTATCGCCTCGTGCGACTCTTACGCTTCTTTCGTGCTTAGCAACCTCCCGCGTGCATCCATAACTCCATGGTTGCACGCTGCACGTTTACCATTTCGTAATTGAAGAGACGGTAAAAAACCAGCACTACGTCTTGAAAATAGGTTTTCACCCCGGTGCAGTCCATCGTACATACACGAAGTTGGTGCAAACAGAACGGACTCGCCTCAGTAGGCCAATTTAGCGACATCCTCATTTCACTAAATCTATTCGAGAAAAGCTTATAATAAGTATTTTTTTTCTTCCTTGGGTAAAATTAGGCTTGTTGCTGGTTAAACCATACTGAAATTGCTAAATTTAATTTGAAGGGGAACGACATGAATCTGGCAGGTGTACCTTCTCCTGCAAGTATGGCAACAAGGTACAATTGAAGGATTTGCATTTCTTCAATACAAAACATTTTATGCTGTTCTGCCGATTGTTTTGCGCTGAGTTTGTTAAAGCGGAAGATTGATTTCGTTTGGGTAACCGGTTGATCACTAGGTAGGATCAGACTGATTGTCTACTTTGCTTCCTTCCCTCCGTCTTTAAATGCTTCTTTTCTTCCTTCTTTCTTTCTCTCTATTTTTCAAAAGTTTGTGCAAGCCCAATTAATAAAGGACGGTAGTTATTTACCAATGGCAGTGAATAAATAATAAACAAATAGATAGGCAAATTCATTACTTTGGCTTCGTTCTCGTTTATTTACAAATTGTATAAATATACTGTCTAAATACAACTTAGTTTACATATAAATATATTAACATGTCATAAAATAAAGTAGAACGTGATTAACGTACCTGATCATTTTGCCTCAAGATTTAAAATGTCAAGCAAAAGAATACCTGTAGTAAATATTTTAAACCATATATGACGACAAATCTCTAAAGCTGCGATTTTTTTGCATGCGTACTGCGCCAAACGTTAAGTGTCAATTAAAGCGTGACCTAAAACGTCGACTCGGGGTCGGGGTGTTTTCGTTTGTTTTATCCTGTTTTTCTCTTGAACAAACCATACATTAAAAAACAACACAAAACAAAAAAAATAACTCCTATCTCGCGCGACGTTTTACTGACAACCTAATAATAACAGAGCTGAAGCAAAGACTTTTTTGAGTGACGGACGTCAACCGGAAGTAATGCCTTTCCACTTTTAATATGCCTTGAAGCTACCAATTTTGTATTGCCACCTGTCTTTACTCTTCTAGAGTAGATTTGCCTGACAAGTTGGGCAAAACCACTGCCCAAGAATGCAAAAAAAGTCCATTTCCAGTTGACGCGCGGCGTTCAAACCGTCTTTGCTTAAGCTCGTTTGTAAAGTGGCGCAAACGCGACGAAGAGCATAAACAGAACTTGAACTTCAACCTTCCAGATTAATTTTTCGCGCGCTAAGTGTTAAGGCAACAGAAAACATTTTTATCGGTTAATGGATTACGACAAATTTAAAACGTCTCAATCAGTATTCGCTCACAAACAACTTCGTCACAAATATTACATAATTAAGAGATCTCTAAGACTTTACACAGCTAGACAGCTAGCTGAGATTTAAGACGAGAACGTTACTATATGCTATGCAATTGTCTTTGTTTATTTTCACTTTGTCTTTTGCCTTTTCAAATCAAATTGCCGATGTCCTAGACGTGGTTCAGCCCAGCTTTCAAGACCATAAATATGGGCTTTTAAATGAAATAACAGATTTTGACAGCTTTAAACATTCATAGTCTTTCGAATTCTTGTCCGTACAGAGGGTCGTTTATGACAACAAAAATAACAATTTCGTAAACAAACAAAACAAAGCTGTATAGAAGAAGAGTAATTCAGCAGCAAAAAAAGAAGTGTGCAAATTTGTTCCACAATAAAAACAGCTTTTTGAACGGGTTGTTATTTTGTAGATTAAATGCATTTTCTGCAATCATCTATATCACGCTACACAGAATTTTTGCAAAGACAAAAAGGACCTTGCGATAGGCAACAGCGCGGGAAAGTAACCCTTGAACGTTTAAAGGATAAGTTCCACGTCCGTCCAATATTAAGCGTTTTTGGATAGCGTTCACTACTCGTACTTCAACTAAGGTTATTTCTATCGGAGATTTAGAAATGTCATTTTATGAAGAATTCAGTGAAACCGTACAAGGATCACTAAAGGGTCCCGCCCGCTCATATTCGTCAACTGCACGTACAGAGAAAAAATACTTGCTACCGGAGGAAAATTGTGTCAAGGTACACGCCATGGGAAGCGGAAGTGACTTCACAATTCCAATCTTCTTCCACTTGATTGGTTGCCCGTCTGTTTCAGTAAGATCCTGACACGCAAATAGTTCGTAATTGTCAACGTTAATCTCTGCTTCGTTATATTCCATGTTCCACGAAAGTACAATGCTACTGCCCATCACGGCAATAGACGCTGACGGCTTAGGCATTGACTTTTGCACAACTCCTTGGTTCAACGTGACTTGCTTTGCGTTGGTTGGAACGCTTGATGCTGTCGGATTTTCGGTAGCTGGTCTTTGTGCATCTTGGGAATGTCTCTCATTACGAAGATCGCTTGAGGAAATGCCAGGGGACTGGATAGGAGGCCTGTGTAGAGACTGTACGGTCACATTGCCGTTTGTGCCTTCACTCGTCAGTGAAGATTCTTCATGTTTTTCCTGAGTTGCGTTTGGCAGAAAATGACTTTTAGAGGTCTGAGTCTGTTGGTTTTGCTTACGGTATGCTTGTGGTGGCCTTTTTTCTGGCACGGTGAGAATCGGTTGATACCCAGACCGAGTAGCGGCTTGGTGATGGGACTGTATTGCTGGGGTTTGTCTTGTGGTTACTACTTGTGTTTGCTGACTAGGGTGTTCTCCTAGTCTATTTGGTGACCTACTTTGGAAAGATTGCATCTGGGACGCCTGATTGGCTTTTGGATGCTGAGAGGTACTCTCGAATTGCAGTTGTTGTTGCTGAAGCAAATACTCAGGCGAGGGCAGTGCTATTCTGTAGCCAGATGGTAGAAAGCTTTTCTTGTCCAAGTGCATTTTTCGAGCACGCACCAAAACACCGCTTTTCTGCATACTTTGGATATCAGGTTTAAACTGATTATAGGTTGATACCGTTGTAGAGGACGCTCCCCTAGGAACTTCTCGTCGAATTCCAGTTGTGCCATGAGCAATGTCGAAACGATTGTGATTTCGAGAGGAATAATCCGGTGTGACAATAGATTCTTTCTGGTAATTGCTATTCAGAGCAATTCTTACGGCTGCAGTGATCTCTCTCCTTTCTAAGGTTTTACCAACGTGGGCCCTGGTACTTGCCACAAGGGGTGAGCCGGACGAGTTGCCACAAGAACGATTTACAGGTTGGTTTACCTGTTCGCAGACCGGGGTGTTTGAGTTGACCAGGTTTGACCGCTGATTGCTAGGGTTACTTATAGAAATTTGTTCCGAAGTCGTAGAATAAGAAACAGCAGTTTGGTGGCCATTGTTGGGATTTCTGGGTTTCGCACTTACCAAAGAAGGAGGCACAATAGGAGTAGGTGCGACTGAATGTCGTTGTATTTGCTGTGGCGAAGGGTCTGGCTGGCGTGGACAGGGTGCTGACTGCGCGGAAAGTTGCCGATTTTGCATTTGTTGATAATGTTGCTGTTGCTGAAGCTGCTGCTGACGTTGTAATTGTTGTAACAGGGAAGCAGTTGTTTCAGATGGAATAATTACTCGCTGCTGTGCTGGTGGTTTTGACGTATGTGGTAGGTCACGCTGTTGCTGCAAGAGTGATCTTGCTTGGGTTACGAACATTTGACTTTTATTGATCCTGTCTAAGTTGGGGTTTGTTTGAGAACGTGACTGAATTAGAGATGCTACCCTAGTGGGTGACTCTGTCTGCACAAGTGGTTGAGGTTGCGGGTATGGGTCTTTTACTGCTTGTCCAAGTTGTGTATATCTTGTTTCAAGTGATCTTCTTTCACCCTCTGGTACCTTATTTCCCTGTTGGGTAGCGTGAGCCTCTGACGGCCGAGGCGATACCGTGAAGACTACCGTAGTCTCTTCAGATACTACTGAATTTATTGGCTGTGCCAGGGATGTAAGGATTGGCCTTACCTGAGGAGACGACTGTTGAGGAGCTACTCTTGACGCGAGGGTAGTGTTTGTTACAGCGAAAGAAGCAGCTGTCGTCAAGGAAGGAACCCTTGGGCTCACCACGTCTTCGATAGTAGATACTGGAGCTTTCACAACCAAGATGTCTGGATCGCGAGATGGTGATATAACCCGACTAAAAGGTTCTTCAATTTCAGGGTTCTACAATTAGGAAATAAATCATAATCAAGCGTCAAGAGGCTTGACACAGTCAAACAAAAACTCCAATTCGATCAATTAAATGTGTACTCAACGGTTTAAGTTTTGTTGTTTTGTTTGCTGTTTTGTAGAAAACTTACCTTTACCGTTTCAATGTTAACTTGGATACCACAAGACGTCTTAGCTTTTTTCTTCTGAAAAGAGAGAGGAAAAAAAACTTAGTTTCCAGGTGTCGGACTTCAGGTATTTGAGTCATCTATGTCGCAGCAGGTTTACCTTTTCATTTTTAGTGACATAATTCTTAAAAGCGTCAGAAAGTTTCCTTGCACTCCACCGCAGTTCCCTGTTCTGTCTTTCTAACTCTCGTATACGATTCTGAAGATGAACTGAATTAGCTGCAATGGTTTCTTCAACCACCTTGGTGCGCTGCTCAATAACCTCTTTTAGTACCTGAAGCATAGTGAAAAATATAAAATTATTCGTCGCATAATCTAAAAGAGAAAGTAGCAAAAATAAAACAGTAGAAAAAGCAATTCAAGCAAAAGAAAATCAAGTCAGAAAAGAAGAGGTTTGTGGTTGCTCAGCGCGATAGATATCAAAAGAAATATATAAATAGCTTTTCTCACTTTGCAGTCACTGGAGAGTGACTTGTCGAATGCTTAACACAAGTGTAAGGCATTAGACGATACTGTCGAATGCCTTGTTTGTATATTTCGATCCTCACTTGTTTTCTGAGACGGAGATATTGCTCCCTCCGTGGTCTGCCGAGGGGACGAGCCAACAACTCCTTCTTGAAACAAACTATAACTCTAGAAATTACGTCAAGATAATTGGGAGGAGGAGTTTTGTGACTTTTTTTTTGTAAGATTGAACAGTAAGAAAAATCGACACTATCCTTTATTTACACTATGTATTATTATCTATAAGCTAGGTAGAATTAAGTGATGTGCTTCTCCGACTTTTGCATGTTTTTGTTGTGTGAATTGGTATCCAACTATCTCCCGAGGGGAAGGTGAATAGTGGTGATATATCTCGCGCTCTTCACCGACCCTTAGGGGGATAGTTGGTTTAGTATTTACCAAATCTTGGATAAAAATAAAAAAAGAAGAAATTTTTGGTAAATCAAAAACGTCTCTTAGTAGGAACTTTGTTTACAATTTACGAACATTTCGGGGATTTTGTCAAGTGCATTTTTACGATTTTGTTGCAAATTCAGAATGAAAATAATATTCTACGGACCAGTAAACACCGACAAGCCAAAGTTCGTCGCTTTTTTGGTATTGTCTGTACGACTGCTTCATTTTTCAATCTAATTTCGTCTCCCGAAAACGTCTCGAAACGAGACGCCATCTGGGCTCCGGTCGCAAAACAGTGAATAGCCACGGATATTCCTAGTTACGGGAGCCAATCAAAACGCGCGAAAATTGCTTTTCACTGATTTGGTAAATACTAAAACCGATTATTACTGGTTTCTTTAGAAAATATCTTTGGTCGAGGCAGCGGGGATGGGTAAGGGAAGGGGAGGTTCTGAGGTGAAGATGGGGCAATGACCACAGATACTGTAACTTGGATTTACCTGTTTAAAGGTCCGTACATCTTCAGCTGTCTGTTGTGATACCCTGTCGTCGTCGACGTCGGATTTGATATTGGAAACAGGGTTTGCCTTAGTGCTTTTTCTGTCGTTTGGAATTGGTGTTGCACCTTAAGCAGATAATTAAAAACGGTTCATTAACTTAGCAAACAATGCCAGAACTGTTCGAGTTAGGAAAAGACTAGGCAAAGAATTGCAAAACGCATAATTGACGACTATGGAAAGACGGTACGCCGAGCGTGCGTGTGCGTTATGTGCCGCAAGTCAAGTGCACGTTGTAAAGCATATCTAAAAAACCTTTGGAGACAGAGTCTGCCTGTGTAGTTTCTACCGAAAAGAAGTCAATTGGGCGTAACTGAGAAAAAAATCAATGCAATTATTTTACGGAAGACTGCGTGAAAAAGCAGAAAGCACTGATTTCAAGACAAGGAGCTCGAACAAGATGTTTTCACTGATTCAAAGGCCTACCTAGAGCTTAGGCCTAAGAGTCGAGCACACAGAGGCCATGTAGCCAATTGAAATTGCAAAATCAACTTGCCTTGTCTAGACTCTTCAGGTATCAATTCTTTACTTTCGGCGTTATTAAACGTGCTGTTCTTTAGCTCACTTCCGTTGCCTGTCCCATTCGTTCCAACCTCTGCAGGCGCATTTTCTGCATCATTTAAACTGTTAACTTCGCCTGCCTTATTTCCCTGACTGTCACTTTTTTTAACGGCTGTCTGCTTTCCCCAAAGTTTTGTGACCCGACGCAGTCTCTCGATGATTTCATTGTTTAGATTTAGTCTGTTTACCAGCACCCGGGGACCATTTCGCTTGCGTTCTCCAAGAGTCATAGGGCGTGGTTGATCACTTCTTGATCCTAAAACAACGAAAATGGAGGACACCGTATATACTATATTTAAAGATAATTAAGTAAAAGAAAGCGATTTCTATACCATTTCTCTCGGGAAGAAAAAATTAAAACAAAGGGACTTAAAGGAAATTCAAAGGACTTGACGCAATTAAAACCAGGGATCTGGCCGTACGATCCAGTTCTTTTACGAGTATGCTTTTAATTAGAAGAATAATTCAATGAAATTTTCAACATCCGTTGTCATGTTAATTCTTTTCCCTGTCACATCATCTTCATCACCATCATCATCATTTCATCGTCATCATCACCTGAGCCTTTGAAATTTGTTTTACTTAAGTAAATTTTCCTCAAGACCGGCACCAGATCAAAGCTCTGCTGGGCCTCTGGGTAGTTAGAAGGGTAAGAAAGATTAATTCATCATCATCATCATCATAATCAATATTTCTCTCATTATTGTTGAATGAATGTAAACAGGAATGAAAGTTCAATGTTGGAGTCAAAGCCTCACACTAAAAATGAAATGATTTCAGCTCAGAAATTTACATTAAAAGTTGATGAATTAGTTAAAAGAAATACCTACCAGGTGCATCATTTACTTGGTCGAGTTTTCTGTGGATTGGCAAATTTGAGTATGAGCAAACTTTTTTCTATCATCTACTGATAATACAGTGACACACGTCCTCGCTGCGACACGCATGCGGCTAACATTAAAGCCTCTCTTACGAAATGTGCCATTAAGATTCGCGTCTTTCGTAAGGCGCGTTTTATTTTTCCTAGTATAAATAGCCCTAATGAAATGAGACGCGACTTCGCTAAGAAGCGCAATACCTGTTTTTAGATTACACACGTCTTAGCTAAGGGCTTGTTCACACAGAGGTGGGGGATCCCAGGTAGGTGAGGTAACCCGCCTAGGAGGGGTAACCCACCTGTCCGTTTAATAACTCGTTTTAAGTTGATAACGTTTACATGATAGGTGTTGTGACCCGCCAAGACGGGTTGTCTAGTCTGACAGACCTGGTAATCCTCCCAGCCTGAGGTCACATTTTGCTATGTATACGTTTCAAGGTGGGGTAAGCGCCTACCGCCGAAGTCGTGCAACAGAGAGGTTGTCCGTTGAGTTGTCTACTGCCCTTACCGGAAGCTTTGCATCATTAAAAATGACAATATGCAGCCATAGCACTTAAAGGAACAAAGAACAACAAGTGAGAATAAGAGAGAACTTTCAGCCAAAATAAGTCGTTCGCCCGCCATTGTGTCTGTTCTCTTGCGAAAATACACCCCGGAGCGGCGGGGTTTCAGATTGCCTGTAAACGCGGGTTATTTTTTCCCCACCTGGGTGGGTCACCTCCCCTACCCGGGGTCCCCCACCTCCATGTAAACACCCTCAAGTCTTACGTGCCACGCTGGATTGCCCTTGCAACCGGCAAAAATCACACAAAAACGTGTCCGGGGCAAGAAATAAGACGCGAACCATTTAATATACGAGTTGTTCGCGTCTAATGAAAGATATTCTCGAGTATATGGTACAGTTCGTATGCCTGTAAATAAGTTCTTATGGTACAAATGGTACCACCCATCCTCGGAGACCCAGGGGCAGATAGTGGGGACGAGGGAAAGTCTAAACGGGCGGAAAAATGTGGCGCAAAGAAAAGTAAAGAACGGCGAGAAGAGCCCCTGGGGACAATGTCTTACCAGACCAGTTCCAAACGGTCGCGCCGTTCTGGCTTCTGATTGGTGCCAGAAAAACACAAGTTTTCTGGCACCAATCAGAAGCCAGAACAGCGGCGACCGTTTGGAACTGGTCTGGTAAGACATTGTCCCCAGGGGCTCTTCTCGCCGTTCTTTACTTTTCTTCGTTCCATATATATTTTTCCGCCCGTTAAGACTTTCCCTCGTCCCCACTATCTGCCCTTGGGTCTCCGAGGATGGGTCCTACCGAGTATTATTCTACATGACTTCCTAAAATAACACTAGCTTTGACTTAACATTAGTGTTAAAGCAACAAAGTTACTTTATGAGTGCGAATAATGTACTTAGAGTTCTTAATGCAAATAGAAAACGAGGGGGATGGGACGGGTTTAAGGAACTCACGAAACAAGTGGACGTTGGGAGCTACCCGGTATTGAAAGGCATCTGGTACGATCGCGAGAACTGAACAAGATAAGTGAGTTCAATGGGGTCATTGTTTGTTGAATCAAGAGTGACTGCCATTCAGATAGTTTCAACCAACGTTTAGATAACTATGCATATTTAATTACCCATTTATTACCGCATTTTCTATTTAGCAAAATGTTAAAATTATGATAAGCATATTGCTTTTTTTTAGTGTATCATTGCAAAGAATGCACTAAAATTGGACTGCAGTGAATGTGCATCGAAAAAGACAATTGTGACGTTAAAACATAAACATGTGAAGACAGTTCGAAAAAATACACCCTGGAGAGTCAACGCAACATGTACATTCAATTTTTATGTAACTACCTTCGCTTTTCTGGTCTCTCTGAATCGTCCATTCTTCTTTCTGACGAATTAAGATAGTACATAAGAAAATGTTTAACTAGATATAAAATAATCATAAAGTCGAGCAGTTTGGATCAGGCAAGGTGTTCTATTTTACTGATTTAAAAGCCTTCCCGAAGTTAGTCCCGGTTTAAGCTGTATTAGAGCTGTAGGTCCACATTTGTTTGGAAAGAGTTAGTAATTTTTAAAAGTAATTCGGCTAAAAACGTACCTTTGGCTACTAAAATAGAATAAGGCAGGAATCTTTTTCAGGAATTCAATCAGACAATTCCTTTCAATAAATTATGAGAGAATTACTGATCACAGACACCTGCTTTAAACAAAACAGGTTTTGGTTTGTTTCCCATGGCTACCTTTTGTGTAAAATGACACTTCACATTCCTTTTAGACCATAGATGTTTTATTTTTCCCTGGGGCATGGAAACGGCAACGACAAAAGTATATACGAAACAGGTGAATCCACACAATATATTTGAAGGTCTTGCGTCTTGCATCAATAGTAATATAATATGGTAATTTAAAACTGAAATCAGCCAATATCGTATTAAATAAGAAATTATAAGACATGGAAAATAATGACTTATTTTACTGTGAAAAAAAAGATGTCACATTAAGATATAAGACAAGTGGCAGATGACCTTCAGCAACAGAACCATTTCATGTTTTATGTTAATTTTGCATCCATCGCCCCAAAAGATCCTTTAGTTAATAACTATCAACTACCGCGATTAAATGAGTGACGCTTTTTCGTTTTCTTATAATTCCTGCCTAGCCTAGAAAATAATTAGAATTTCATTGAAATTTGATAATTTTTTAGGCTATTCAAATTACTGATTCGATGTCCTTGTTTTAAATTAGCCTGTTTGTGCATGTCATGTTAAAGGGTACAAAGTGTGAGATGATAATCACTAAGTTCAGTCTCGGCAGAATATTGAATATGAGCATAAGCCGCCGGATCAACTTGAATGCCTCATTATGTGGGGGTAAGAATTAGCATAACAAATGTTGCTGGGCATAATACGATAAGTTCAGTGGCGCTGATTTTACTGAAGTAGGAGTGGCTTGGATAGATGACTATCCTGAGGAAAACACTTGGCAGATGTATTATAATTTTTTTTTTCCATTTACAATGCCAATATTGATCAAGAAGAAAGTGTGCGTCACTGAGGTGATTTGAGATTATGAAAATAATGAAATGATGCCTGAGAAGCCATAAAGATCGACGGAAAGTTGTTTGCACTTTTGTCTTACGTATTTGGAAGACTGAAATCTAGTATTTCTACTACCAAATTTAAAACTGTGTACATTGTGAAGCTCTAAGCATAGGCAAACATGAATACTATTCTTTGCATGCTTAGCTCACTCCTTCTTAGGAGAAAAAATCTGTTACCCAACCGTAAAAACACAACATCAAGAGTAACGCGGCATAGACAAAGGCTATCTATTTGACAAAATTTAGTTTTACGCCTGGAAGAGCGGTAAGAATATTGAAACGTCATTCTACCTAACATTTCATTAAATTCCATTTCTATATGTACGGTACACATTTATGACTTAAACAAATATACTAAAGGATTTCGCATTGGTACAGCCAACATATGCTACTCGCCAGATATATTGATAACATGTGGACTACAAGATTAAATATTGTTCACGTAATTTCTGTTTTTAATATCAATAAACGTACCGCACTCTTCTTGCCCTGGGTGCCAGAGACTTTTCATGCGCGGGTTTTCTCGCGGATTCGTCGCTCGCGGTGAAGACGCCGCACTAAATCGCCGAACGCGAGAGAAAAAACCTACGGTATTGAGGGTACGCTCTCCTCGGAATGGACAAGCTCCATTCACTGTCTTTTAGTATTTGCCGCAAGCTGTTTTGTCCATCCGCTTCTACCGTTTGACACATTCATTCCACATTTATTCTGGGTGGGCGTATTCAAAAGGCGGCACCCACATTATATTGAAATCAAATGGTTATCATCTGAAAAACCCGGTTACATATTGCTGAATAATTAATAACATTTAAGGACTTAAATATTTCCCTTTAAAGCCCTTTTTACCGCTCAAGACACCCTTTGTTGTAAGGGGGACGCTCGTTTGTACGGGCACGAGGAACATAAAGAGTGGCTGGGGTGTTTGGGATAGCAATGTTCCTATGAGCCTTACATTATATCCACTAAGGAGCCTCACTTGTTACTGATTCAAGACAAGAGAACCCAGTAACAGATATGGGTCACTTCTCTAATAATCAATACCTAACTGGAGTTTTCTTCTAAAGCCTTGGGGACATGTCTTATTTTCATTTGCATTATTGTGTCGGCTATACATGTAACATCAAGTTTAAATTGGTTTTTGCTTTTAATCAGTATTGAGGGGTAGCAGCCTTACAAAGATGTCCTCATTAGAGAGGCGTCCTATTGACTGGGACTTCCACCATTCAGAAACGCCCTTCTTACAAGCTCTTACAATTAGCCATTTGCACGATGGCCTTATTTTACTACTACCACCAGAATCCTTTTGGTTTTTCCTTTCATATTTAAATTTGGCAATCCCAGTGCGGTTTAGATAACAAAAGCCCTTATTTGCACAAGAAAGGAACACCCTGAAGGATTCTAGTCGTAATAGTAAAATAACGTCATCGTGCAAATGGCTTATCGTGCCTACCCAACTGAGATATCTCTCTTTCAAGAGTTTCCACCACACAGGGTAGTCCACCCTACAGTGATGTAACACTCTGAAGGGCGTCCATCGCACGGCGGTTTCGATTACGTTACCGGGGGATCCATCTTGTATGGGCAGCTATCTTGCAAGGGTGTGTACCATACAAGGGTGTCACCTCACAGGTGTGTCTTTTATACAGGGGACCCCACCGTTATATGTTACAATCGAACCTCTCCCTACAGGCTCTTCTGTACTATAGAAAATTCTCTTGGTCCCAAAGATAGAAATCTGCAGACATTATTTAGCACAATTTTTACGACAACTCTGTAACGTGCACACTTGGGTCCGTCTCTTTACTACCCGTCCACATATTAAGGAAGTTTGATAGATGGTCCAGGGTAGATGGTATTTTGTCAAGCCACGAAATTGCCAGTACTTTTTACAATCCCGATTTCCAGAACCTTTGGTTTTCCAAAATTCCCGATAATTAAAACCAAAGCTTACTTCCTTCACCTGTCAAACACTGTAATTTAAGGCCCGATTTTTCATGCCCTCCAATAATACGAACCAATTTTCTCAGTTTTTCCGGACGATACCATTCAATCAAAATCAATAATCAATTACATCAATAATAGTCAATAAAAACCAATAGCAATTAATTGATTGATATTGATAATCAATAAAAATCAAAGCCGCAGTCTTGAGTGACTTTCGATTTTCATTGATTTTCATTGATTTACATTGATTTTTATTGAAAACTAAAATGTGCCTTCCTTTAGTTTTAAACACGTCACACGGCTTAGAAAATAAACCCAATTAAGTTTTCATGGTCCTATCTACGACAAATTAAGAAATTAAAAAGTAGAACAGAAACAACAGTACAAAGAACAATTTAATTTATCTTCCTGTATTGACATTAGGCAAAAACCTTAACTGAGATGTACTTTAAATAGATGCGTACGTGCCGTGTCTAATGTTTAACTGAGCATGACGTTATACATGGTCTCGAGCCTGCCTTTAATTTTGTTTCGTACATTTATCGAATTCTTAGCTGAATATATTGGAAAAATCTTTTAAAACGTCACACATCAACAACATACACAAACATGCCCGCTGGCTATAGGAAATAGAAATTTCCGCAGACATAGCAGCGTTGTTGTGTTTCCGGGTTTTTACTGTTGCACAGTCAGCTATTAATTATAAATAGCAATCAATAAAAATCGATAAAGTTTAGACGCATCCGTGAGTGATTATCGATTTTTATTGATAGCCAATCAATATTAATCAATAGATTTTTATTGATTTTTATTGATTGAATTTCATTGATTGTTGTCGTCTGGGTTTTTCCAAGGTGGTTCTCCAAAATTGGGATTCTCCGGTAAAACTTTACACAGTCGTTAATCAGGGGCAACCCAACGAGAATATAGTTCAAAACCACTTAACATAGCATTTTTAAACGTATTTTAGTATATAAACGGTAGATATAGGCATATTTTTATCCCCTAAAAATTTTTTATCTGTTCGGATTTCCTAGCTGAAAGTCTAGTGATCCGAAAATTATAGGAATCAAAACTCACCTTTTCGAAAATTTCAGGCAGAAAAAGGCTCCCGAAAACTCTTGGTGATCTTTTTAGGGTAAAAATCCGGTAAAAATGGGCAGTTATACCATTTTTTAGATGTTCGAAAATCTTAGGAGAGGCAGGCAAGCAAGAAATTTTAAACAAATGTTCCGAAAATTCTAGATCTCAAATCGTCTTCCAAACAGATATTTTCCGCAAATTGACATTGCGTGCCCCTGGTTTTAAATAAAAGAACAGATGGGATCATCGGATAACGGGGATTTTCCTTTTAAAATCAACTATTACCTTCCAAACGCTTTCTTCGTTTCAGTGGTCTTTTGCCCTCTTGACAGAGTTTTCAGCGAAAGGTTAAGTCGAAAGCTGATAAGGCGCACGTTGCTTGTCAAATGGCATTTCCGATACAGAAGTTCCGGTTCAACGCACTCCCCCTGTCTTCGAATTACACGTAATCAAACAAGGATCAACGACTTTAAATTCTTGTGGAATTAACGAAGAACGAACGAGGTAAGACGCAGGTAACACGGCCGTGGATCGGTTTATCTGGTACATTAAAAATAGCTTCCCTTGTCGAATTCCATCGAGGTTGTGGTTCAAGACGAAGCTTGTACTGTAGGTCCACTGTTTCTGGTGTTTTCATTTGTTGTTTTCAAATTGGAGTTTTCATTGTTTCCATCATGCCGCTTCTCATACGATGTCGAATTATTGTTTGTTTTCATTTATGCTAATTAATGACCACCGCTAACCCTGGTCACACAATGAAAACGAATTCCATTTGATCAAGAAATAGGAACAACTGCAATCAATATGCGAAACAATAGCCTGCCCGCATTGACAAATGTCATTGGTTTTCAAATCACTTGTGGCAAGCAAAACAACCTCCGCGAAATCTACGTTCGTTACCGGGGTTCGTTATAACAAAGGACCGCCTACGCAAGCTGCACGCGAAGCCAATAAACTCGGGTGTACGGTTAATAAAACCTTAGTCAGCTCAGCCCTTTCTCTGTAATAGAGGATCCAAAACGTCCTAAGACCATTGACAAATCGGATACCGACCTTTGAGTCGATGGCGCAAGATTTTAAATTGTCGACAAAAAAAATAACCTTTGTCCGAAGAGAGCGGCGATTTTATTGCCAAGAATTTAACTGACCACTTGGCCAGTACATTCAAACTGCTACACTATGCTATCAAAAAGTAAACTTTTCATTCGGACTATAATATGTTATTCGCATTCCATTTGAGAATTCATCAAAACAAAACTTGAGCAACTCATAACTTTTTTATAATTTATTTTTTAATCTCATCTTCGCAAGGTTTGCGACCGGTTTACTCTGCCAGCCAAGACATTTTATTTACCACAAGAAGATGCGAGTAACTTATACCCACCGTTTAATTTCAAACTTTGTGGACAGTATTTCGCTTTTTGCCTCGATGAATATTAATTTCGCCTCTCTTCATTTCCAAAAATATATCAATTGCACAGGCTCGCTTTCCTCAAGCCAACATGAATTAACATGTCAAAGCAACCTACAGCAAAACAATTGAAAAATACGCCTCTTCATACCTCTCAAACGTCTTCTGTCAGATAATTGCCCTCAGTATGGATGAATCACGTCTTGTTTGTATTATAGGCGACTACAAAATGCGGGCAATTACACTGCAATTGAGAGAAAAGCTGCGCAGTTTTCCTCAGCAGTAAAACATACGATATTTGATCCACCGCGTGGTGATGCGAATTCATGCTTGTTCGCTAATTTAAATTGCAAAACACATTTCTTGAAATATAATTTACCTGTGTTCTGATGAAGCGACGGTTTCTTCTGTAATACGAATAGACACGTCGATTAAATGATCGCTCAAGGTCTGTCCAAGTTTCTTGTCAAATTATCTTTTATATCACGCACCGAAAATAACACCGCCACATGTTTTCACAAACGAGTGAAGCGGAAAGTGCTGGAACAATGCCATCTGCAACATTCCTTTTACACTTAATCAGGTCATGCAAGATTCCACGGTAATTAAACAGGTTTAACTTGTTTTCATAGCATCAAATGTGAGCCACCCAGAAATATGGAAATTTAAAAAAGAAACATGACGTAAAGAGGTGTCACCTGAAACATTTTACATCATTCATACCTTAATATCTTTGCAAATATTTTTAATGATAAATTGAAAATTTTCAGACGAATTTTTTTTAGTACAAAAACGTAAAGAACTCGACTATTACTCAATATAAATTACAAGTTCATTTGAAGATCATTTTGCTTGAAGCGGCATGGCGGTGATAACTATTTATTGTAGAGACTAAGTTGACAAAGTACGGCAACCGACTGCCTTCATTATTACTAAAGCTACTCAATTTCTTGGCAGGGTAATCAAAGTAACCGTAATAAACAGTCAAAGTTGAACAAGAAACAAGAATTTTTTTCATGTTCAATCCGCGATAATCAAGGTGAAAAGTGACTTCATGTCATGCACTTTTCACCCATGGCGGATCGGAGGCGAAAAAGCTTGAACTCGAAATTAAAAGAAAACAGTCAACTCAGAGCTACACAATTCGACGCGCTAAAAAACCGTAAAATATAAATTTACATCAAACTGTAAGACCCACTTTTAAAGTAATATTTTGACATCGTTTACTGTCAATATTTCAGTATCATTAAGTGTTAAGATAAGGCCGGAGGTTAACCATCTCTTACCAAGGAGAAAGATTTTACCAGTACATGGGCAGAGATTAACATGGGCAAACCGCGGATCCGTTCACGAATTGGGCAAATAGTAAGAAAAAATTATGACTGGTTCACTTCGTCCTGGAGTCGCGTTTGCCTTTGCACGAATCCCAGACAAATCTGTTCCTTTTACCGAAAAACGGCCGCGAAAGCAGTTTCTTTCTGAAACATTTCGTTCGGAAAACCGGACTTCCTTTCCAGGTGTTCCGTTGCTCTCGGAAATTCGTCCCCCGGAACGACATGAAAAGCAGTGTTCCATTTACTTTTCAACCGGATTGTCCTGAAACGTTTTGTAAATGGTAAACAAACAATCTGTTCTATTTGTTCACGTGTGGTCGATTCTAAGCATAAAATACAAAGTCTCGAGGACGAGAAAACTCTCGTGGAACTGGAAAGATTTATACGGCTTAGACTGGGTTGATTTACATATGGTTTGTGATTCTACTTGCTTTTCGGTTCGAATTTTACTTTTTTTGCTTCAAACTAATTTTCGTACATTACCATACCCAAAAGCAAGTAAGGGAAAATTTGAACTACGTATGACTTACATATGTATATACATGTATATGTTGTGGTCAAGTTTTATCCCCTGGCTAAAATTTTATTTTATTTTGTTTCAAACTGGTTACCATATTTTACTATATCCCAAAACGTATAAAACAGCATAATAAATAATGAAATACAAGTTAAGACTAGGAGAGCAGAACTTCCCTTTCTCTTTTTGAGTAATGAGGAGAGAAAGAAGCTCCGCGTGAATCGCGTAAATCCTTTGAAGTCGCCGAAGCTCGAACTTCTGAACTACTCTCTATCGTCAAACTGGTTTGTCGAGAGCGGGCATCCCTTTACTGAGGCAGCGTTCACTGCCCGGACACGGTGCCCGAGTACGGTACTCGCTTGGCACTAATGTGCACACACTCTTTTTTCAAGTACCCAAACAAGAATTCGGTCACGGTGCCGGTACCCGAGTACAAGGCCGAAACCTTGTACTACGGCACAAAAGTGGGCCTGGGTCCCTGTTTGCAAACCGTTTTTGTTACTTCTAGAGCAGTCCAGTGCTTTGTACTCGCTGCTAATCTCATGTTTCAAAATGTTGGTGGTGAAATGGAGTATTTAAGTACACAGTTGCATATCGGGTACTCAAAGTGTGAACACAACACCATTTTGTACCGATACCCAGGCACTGGTTCCCGGGAACCAAGTGTGGACAGCCCCTAACCGATAGTTATAACGGAACCGGCTGTGCCAAGCACACGGCTATTATGCCTGGGTTCAAAACTGTATCCTAGCCTGAGAAACAACGCATGCTCAACAAAGATCTTACTCTATTGCTGGTTTGCACGTGACGTCACGGCGGCCATGTTGGTGGTGGTTGCTGGTCAGAACAAAAGAATTTCTTTCCTCTGGGAACTAAACCCTATTTTCATGTAAATTCTTCGAGAAAAAATTCTATTGTACTGACCACCAACACACCACTAACATGGGCGCCTTGTCAGGTGGTTGCAAGCCAAGAATACCCCACAATCGACCGAGTGAAAGAAATGCTCTGCTAGTAGCTTGATTAGAGTACTTGAACTTATCCTGGAAATAATTACTAGATTGACTCGCTCGCCCAAGAGGTGATGCAAAATAATAAGAAAAGTGCCTATTTTCATCATTCTGGAAGATGATTACATCATTATAATTCACGAGGTTGACACCGGAAGACGATTGCATCATTATAATTCACGAGGTTGACACATGTCATTCTGTTTAATTGACTAAACATGCGCGGACAGCCGTCACATTGCCCGGTGGTATTTTTTACTGTTTTTAGCCTTAAAAAAATAAATAAATTCAGAGAGCAAATACGGAGGCTATCCGTGTGTGTTGCAACTGAATCGATCCTAAAGCCATCACTTCTACAAAGCCACGGATCGTCGTAAAAGGCACTGACTATATAACTAATCTCACGTGACATCACACTTAGTTATTGTTACTATGAACAGCGAGACTGCATGTGGCGTCACTCTGTTTGCACGTGAAAGTGTTGAATTCTACTCCTTTTAATTACTGTGAATCTTGGAAACGTGTGAACACTTGAAATATTTCAGCAATTTTTATTGTGTTATGTAGAAAAGGCGAGGAAACATCACACGAACAATAAAAAAAACACAAACTAATAAGCCGGCTTCTAATTATTAATTCTTACTCGGTTCTGAGGCTGATCATAATTTTAAAATAGGGAAAAAAATAAAGAAATTTTTTCTACAAATTAGAGAAGGATTTTTTCAATGCTCGTCACGTAGACGGCTCCAAATTTTAACATAGCTTAGGCCTGGCCAAACGTCGATTTTTTCATAAGACGAACCGAACTCTCATGTTAGGTCGATCTAAATTAAGGTGGCTCGATAGGTTTTTCTGGGTCAATACCTCCCAAGTTTGAGATCAAGTTTTCTATGAAAAATTCCTCGTTTATACGGGTTTTAAGTAAAATAATATACAACTATCCTCCAAGGGGAGGTGAATAGCCAAGGGTATTCCGAGATACGGGAGCCAATCAAAACGCGCGAAAACTGCTATTCACTGATTTGGTAAATACTGAAGGAGGATATTAACAACTTCCCAGCGTGCCTTGCATCTATTTCGGGGTAATTGTTTCCTGACTTTGTGATAAAAATATGAATTTTACATAAAATTTCGGAGAAATTTTCGCCGCTTTAAGGAGCGTAATTTCTCATCCTTCATTAAGAGGACAGAATGATTTCTTGATTAAATTATCCTATTTTCTGTAAGATTTGGCCGTGTGACCTTTCTCTCGTCGTGCGTTGCTTCTTATCTATTGTATGCATGGCGTTTTTGAATTATTCGTTTCGGTAGTCAAACGAGGAGTCCATTGAGAATTGAGACAAAAGTCCACGCTATTATACTTCAAACATTCTAATGAACCAAATCGACTCCTTTCGACTCCACATTTTCCCAGAAAATTTTTATCTTAAACATGGAGTATTTTTGGCCCTCTCTTATTATAATTTGAGAGAAGTTACCGTTGCGGGAGTGCATTTAGTAATAATTTCAACAAGTAAAATTACTCTATTGTTAAAGATTATTTATATGTTAGCCAACTTCTTGATTTTTATCAAACACTTTGCCATTTAAGTATTTTTCGCTTCATGTGTACTTTGAGGGAAAATTTAGATCTGCCAATAAATTCAACAATATGACGTGTTATGACGTCAATTTACGTCATTGTGTCAATCAAGTTATGCCAGCAAGTTGGAAATGATGAGTACTTTGTTCTGTGTAATTTTGGTGGTCGTAGCTTGAGCGGTTTTGAAGTTATAGAGGCGCGCCTCTGGAGCCTCCACCGGTCGTAGGGAGCGAAAAAAAGCCCGGTCTAAATAGGGTTAATAAGCTAAGATTTGCATGGCCCTATGGTGGTCGTTTTTAACGGGATTTTACTCGATCTTCAATGAACTTCTTTTAAGATCTCACTTAAGGTGGCCGCTGAGGTGGTTAAAGATTAAATGTTAAAATAGAAAGCTTACATCGGTTTAAGTTGTTTTATGCCCTCAAATAATCACTGAATTTCCTATCGTGAGTCCTATGGTTCAAATTCCACTGGCATAATGGTTCTCAACTACATTTCTGGAGATAATATACAGCTAGAATTAACACCATCGAATTAAGTTATGGATTTTTCATTGTGAATTTTGTTTAAGCTTTATCCTACATATTTCATATATAATTCAATTTTTTTCGATGATAATGTTCGAAATAATTTTTAAATATCCCATTAACAAAACTGAACTTTATTTCCATGGATTCTAAGGATTATAATCAATGGATCGCTGATCGAACGTTCAGCTGTGACTGGCGAAGTCAGCAAAACAATTCAAATTTGTCTTATAAAGAAAAATTATGAGCGGAATTATTTTTATCTACATGTTCATGCCCGAAATAGAACTATTTACTAATTTTATCATCAATTCTAAATCGAACTAAGGCTTTTGGGTTGTGAAAAACAATAACCTTACCGTTCAATTAAGTATTAATATTTTTCTTTACAAAAGCTTGATAAAAAAGAAGCAAAAGACACAACAATTGGTTTATTCTGTATTTTTTTTAATGAATTTAACTGAAATTTCGTGTATGACTGCCCAGACCTGCCATGG